TGAAGTCTGGCTTCTGACCCCCTGACACTTGAAAGTGCTTGCTCCCCCAGGTCAGTGATGTCCGCGCTGCTGGCTAAATTCATTTGACTTGACTTGTTGGGAGCATGGGATGCTACTGATCCCACCTCACAGTCTTGAGACACCCCCTTCCCTTGGCTTCTGCGGCCCCACACCTGTCCATCTTCCCTCCTGGCCTCTCTTTCCCTCTCAGTTTCCTGGATGGTTCCTCTCTTCCTCTGGCCATCCTCTGACTGCGATGTTTTCAGGGCTCTGTCCTCAGCCCCTCTCTCCTCTCGCTTAGCAGTCACCCTCACAATCTCAGGTCTACCCCCTTGCCTTTAGTGACCCCACCCATCGCAACTCCAGGCCAAATCTCTTCTAAACACACGCATTCAATTGCCATTGGGCATCTCCTCTTGGGCATTTGGTAGGCTATCTGTTATGGGCTGAACTGTGTCCCCTAAAATCCATATGTTTAAGTCCTTACCCTTGGGACCTCAAAATGTGACTGTGTTTGGAGGTAGTGCCTTCAAAGGGGTAATTAAGGTAAAATGAGATCATTAGGGTGGCCATAATCCAATATGACTGAGGTCCTTATAAGAAGAGGAGATTAGGACACAAATGTACAGAGGAAATACCATGTAGACACAGGCAGAAAATGGCCATTGTAAGCCAAGGAGAGAGGCCTCAGAAGAAATTAACCCTGACAGGACCTTGATCTTGGACAGCTGGCCTCCAGAACTGGCCACCACAGACTGGGTGGCTTAAGAGCACCCAGTCTGTGGTGCTCTTTACAGCAGCCCTGGCAAATGAACGTACCACCCAAGCTAAAAGTCTTCCAAATTTCTCATGACCCATTTTCTCAATCACCCCTCACTTATCTGAGCCTGGTTATTATCTGCGTATCTTTTCTCAGCATCAAGTCAGCCTTGCAGAAAATGTTTTCTGAGAGTTGCATACTGATTAATAAAACGCCCAAGTCCAGTACATCAGAAAGTAGATAGGGACAGTCACCTTATGGTAACACGCTGGCTTCCAGCTACAATGTTGGATACCTGGGTAGGATAGTATTAGATCTCTTCTCCACAAATCAAGCTGAGAAAGTAGAAGTTTTATGATAAAATTCAGGGTAACGTTATCAAGTAAATTGTTTATTTTGTGAATAATACAGAGATATTTTAATAAAATAGCATATTAAATTTAATTATATAAAACCAGCAATAATGCCAGCATCACATCCACTTATAACTACAGCAGCTAGATTTTAAATCTCTTAAGCTACATTTTGAAACACAAAGTATAACATTCTTGTGAAAAATTTCCAGGGTAAAAGAAACTTATAAAATATTTTCTTCATCTGTTCATACTCTTTGTGTTGCTTCCTGAGAAAAGGTGCCATGGTATCACTAATCCCCCAGGGTACTCCTCCCCTCTCTTCTCTTCCCAGCACCCCACCCCTCCTCTCCTGCCCTGTGGCTTCCTCTCTCAGCTCTTAGCACTTGAACATCAAATCAACCTCTCACAAGGATTATGCATTACTCTCTGTTCGAATGGGTTTTCTTGAGTCTTGATTCATTTTCTTTCCATTCCTGATTCTACTCCTGCCCCAGCCCTTTTATCTGTGTATGTGGTGTCCAAATTCAACAACAAATGGTCATTTGATTGGGTTGATTAGAAACCATCCAACATGAGGTGTTTCTTTTGGGCAGAGTTTTTGATCCGTCACATAAACTAGTGGTCTAAATTATTGTTCATCCAAGTGTGGTCTGGCTTCACCTGTATGCTTCTTAGAAATGCAAAATCTCAGACCTCATGAGTCAGAATTTACATGTTAACAAGATCCCTAGTGATTCACGTAACATTTGAGAAGTACTGATCTCATTGTCTCTTATTTGATCATTGTGACAGATTTCCAGATGATACATATACAAAGTTTGGGAAGTGCTGATTTAGTTGTCCCTTGTCATATCACCACGGCCAGGCTGCAGAGTCACATGATGCAGGCATAGCAATATCTGTGTAAGAAATTGTCTAAATCCACCTTTCGCAAAAGGTGACAGCATAATTGGCAGCGTTTGAGGTTTTGTAGCCATTGGATTTAGATGCGGTTCAGAATTGAGCCACAGACTGATGACCTAAAGAAGGAATATCATGGACAGTGTTTCAGCACTGGTCCTTGGGGTGAAAGACATTGTAGGTGATGGACAACCCAAAGGGCTGCTGGTGTGAGACACCAGGGTTTGAATTCTGGCTCTATCATTACTTAGCCCTGGGAACTGAATCAGTTAATTTACCTCTCTGAGCCTCAGTTTTCTCGTTTGTAAAATAGGAATGACAATAATTGTCTAATACAGGTTGTTTTGAAGAGTTACTGGAAAAAACATATCATTAGACCGACAGTTGTTCAATAACTCTTAGTCCCTTCTATTTTTGTCTTGAAATACCTCAATTGTTAGTAAAACAAAGATTTTGAAGGAGGAAAATAAGACGCCTCTAGCTTGGAGCTACGGTCCATGGTTATGATGCCAAGGCAATCAGATTTGGTGGTGGTGGTGGGAGGGGTGGAGTAAAGTTGCCCGCTCTGGCTCCCAAGGTCTTCACACCCCATCACTAGCTGAAGGAGCCCTGCGACAGGCTCAGCTCCCTACATCTGCCCCCTGCGGGGCGGGAGGCCTGACAGACACTGCGGGTTGAACCTGGCATCTGGCTCCACACAGGGGCTTCTGAGGAGTCACTCTGAAGAAGCAGTCTGCTGAGCTCCTCGGTTACCCCAGGTCTGCTCCTCGGTTACCCCAGTTCTGCTCCTCAGTTACTCTAGGCCTGCTCACTTGCTCTCTGCCCGGTAACAGCACTGCCACCCCTAGAGGGCTGAGGCCCTGCCCCACGGTCCCTTCTCTCTGGGGCTGGATTGCAGCCCTTTGTGTGCAGCTTCTCCACGGAAGGCCCAACCTGATCTGGCTGAGATGTGCGTTGCTGCTGGGCCTTCATAGCTATAGCTGCTTTCCTGGTTTCCCCAGAGCTTTGTTCTGACATCTTCGTACCAAACTTTTCCCCAAGGAGTCTGTTAACTCTTTAGATACTACTCTGCCTCCTCTCACCTTTATACAAGACTGAATTCTAAGAATCTTCTCTCTTCTATGCCATGGATCTAAAAGCTTGAGTTTAATCTGCAACAGATCATTTAAGATTATATTTTAGCTTCTCTGTGGGGTTTTATTTTACCAACACCTGCTTCTTAAAGATGTTCAGTTCAAGATACCTTTGAACACTCAAGCCATACTTGACCCAAAGGCCAGATAGTGCTCAGCAATTATCTGATACTCCCAGGACGCAGCAGTGGCCACTGGCTTCCATGAGTGGGTGGAGTAGGTCTGCCTTGGAGTGGAATGCACTTTCTGGGATCAGAATATCAAACTTCATCTGGTTTCTAACTTGTTTTCTGGGCACAGAGTTTGCAGGGTTGATTCTCCTTTTTGCCTTCCACATTCCTCCACTCAAGGTAATAATTTATGCTCATCCTCGTGGCTGGGCCTAGACACTCAGGCAAATAATTCGGTACCAAAAATCAGAAGTATTCTTTAAATATTGGCTCAACATTTAATGAGAGCAAAGGCTGAGCACTGCGTGGGAAGGACACAGAGGACGAATGGAGAATCCCCCTCCACCCAGAGCATTTCTGCCCTGATCCCGAACCTGCCCACCCTTCTTCCTTTGCAGCCTCCTGGTCTCTCTCCCCAGAAGGCGGTCTGGTGACCACTTCTGTCTCTCCAGCAGGCCCTTGGGTTCCACTCTGCAATTTGCTCACGGAAGGTTCACTTCCAGCCGCACACTCTGCTTCTCCCTGAGAGGTCCCTTAAACGTATACAGTAGTGTCTGGGCCCTTCTTGTGACTAGCCTCTCCCTGTATCTCGTTGCTGGGGGGCAATACGCCCGTACTTTATTAACCATATGACCACACTCACGGCCTGTCTAAAGGGCTAGTGTAGTCCGAGAAGTAGAAAGGGGGAGTCCCCCTTCACTCCAATCTCTCAGCTCGTTGACTCAGAAGCTTGGAGGTTTCCCATAGCCACTCTTGCACCTGAAGAGCGATAAACGCCCTACTTGATTTTTTTCAGTTCCTTCGAACAATTTTAAACTGTCCATGCTCTTGCTAAAACTTGTATGTACATCTTACACGTCTGTGAAACAAGGTCCTATTCTTTGTACATATTTGTACAACTTTAAAAAATGAAGTTAAAACGAAAAAAAGATCGATCACACACATTTCCTGCGCAGAAAAGGAAAGGGAAAACAACCAGAGCAATACGGCGCAGCCACGCGTTCCTGGTGATGGTTTCCAAGGGGAAAGACTGGACTTGGGCCGGTCTGTCAAAGGGGATCTCTCTCTCGAGTACATTTTTGTTGTTATTTATCAGACCAGACTCTCTCCGTGAGCACATGGCCAAGCCCTAGGTAACTGCAACGGAATACGTGTTTTCTTAAGTTATGCAGAGACACAGCGCTTTCCTGACAGCTAGAGAGAGGAGTGGAATTCCCGACCTTGCCCGGGCCCGGGTGTCCAGCCCCCGCGAGGGGCGGCGTTTCTGCCCGAGCTCCGCGCGGCCCCAGGTGAGTTCTGCGCGCGCCC